AAGCCCCTGGGGCCTCGGAGGAGGAGGAGGATGAAAATGCTGAAGACGGCTCAATGGTGAGTGCACCTATTCCCTCCTTTACCATAAAATCCCAACTCCAAGTGCCCAGAACATGGGTAGAAGGGGAAGTTGGGGTGATCATAGACACCAGCTGCACCAGCTGCTTAATCAGCATGTCAATAGTGGAGCAGCTAGGTATATGCACAAGACCCCTAACCCACCCTATTCGGTTTGAGCAAGTAGATGGAACCCTAATTAGGGGCGCTCCGGCCACAAAGATCACTGAATTAGTAAAGTTGAAGATAGGCCACCACTATGAGTTCCTCAGATTCATTGTAGCTCCTAGAATGCAGGAGTCAATTATCTTGTGACTTGCATGGCTGGACAAGTGGGCACCTACTATAAAGTGGAATTTCATAGCATAATGCCAAGATGTCTGATCTATTAAATTGGAACTTTAAGTATCATTTTGCTTTGGACTCTGATTTAATTCTACATGATACTTGGAACACTGACACAGTCTCTTGGTTACCAAAATTACCATCCAAATCAATTTTCCATTCTTCAAACTCTCCAAGACAGAGGTGTCAAACTCAGGGCCCATGGGCCAGATCTGGCCTCTGATGAGGTCAGATCCGGCCCATGCACCCATCATGAAAAATGTAAGGGGCCGGCCCATGTTGCTTCAGCCCAGCCCAGGTTATCCCGACGTGCATTCATGCACACAGGAGGCGGACGCACATGCGTACAGGCACAGTTCCCCACCGCCACATGCAGGGGAACAAAAGAAGTCTGTGGGCCTATGATAAAAAAAAATAGTTCAGACCTTCTAACCTCACGAGATCTTTTTTTTTGTGAGAAGTTGGGAGGTCTGAACTATTTTTTTCACTGTAGTCCCACAGACTGCACGCAGTGGTGGCAAACACAGCTGGAAACCAAGTTAGTGAAGGGATGTGGCTGCCCTGGGGTGTGTGTGGGGTGCTGAGGGTTTGGCATGGCTAGCATGGCTTAAGGGCCTTCAGGTAAGCCGGTTGTGGGGCAGGTGGGGCAGCTCTGCACCCCCTACCTTGCTTCATCCTCCACCACCACCCCCGCCCCGCTTCATTCTTCTTTGTTCTTTGCCACTTCTTCTCCTTGCTTGCTGCCGTAACAGAGCAGGAGGCTGAGCAATGCACTGGTGTGGCAGCCACAAAACGTGGCGGTGGGGTGTGAAAGATGAAGTAAGCTCCATCTAGGACCTCACGTGTGTCGCTCAGCCTCTTGCCCCATTGCAACAGTGAGCAAGGAGAAGCGGGATGGCAACCACATGAGGTCCTGGACGGGGTTTCTGGAGCTGCTGCCACATGGCCAGACAGTTGTCAGGACATTGATGGCCTGGCTGTGGGACCCTCAAGTAATGTGTGTGGCAGCTCCACACCCTCTGCCTTGCTTTGTCTTCCACCACTCCCCACCACCTCGATTTGTGGCCACTGCACTAGTGTGTCGTTCATCCTCCTGCTTTATGGCAGCGAACAAGGAGAAGAAGTGGTAAAGAACAAAGATGAACAAAGAGATGGGGGGGTGGAGGATGAAGCAGTGCAGGCCACCATGGATAGCATGGCTGGTGCTTCTGCCATGAGGTGGGGTGAGACAGCGAGAGAATGATCTAATCAAACGTTTGTGTGTGTGTTTG